CAGGCTCAGGAGACTGATTGCGAGGGCCGCGCCCAAAGCCTGCCTCCCCCAGGCAAGAGGCCGCAGGCACACGGGTGTGTGCACGTGTGTGTGTAGGTGCGGGCACGGCATGTGTGCACATATTGTTTGTAAGTGCCTTGTGTGTGGTGTGTGAGCTTGCATGTATGTGTGCACGGGGCTGCGACATGAGTATGCCTGTGAGGTGTGTACACTCTATTTGTGCACATGTGTGTGTGAGAGAGCAGAGGACACAGCTGTGCCACATGTCCGGAGAGGCGGGTCCAAGGACAGATGGCCGCGGGGTGGAGGAGGGAGCCCCGAGCGGAGGGCTGTCCCCGCGGCAGCCGGGGTGGGGGCACCTAGGGCCCTGCAAGTGTCCATCTGAGGCACCGTGTCTGTCCGCTGGGAGCCGTGTGCAGGCAGCCACGGGTGCTGGGCACACACCCTCACACATGTGACGTTACATGCTGTAAGAGTTCATCCTGCAACACACTTCCTGCAGTGCACGTTTGTGTGAGCGCCGCACGTAGACAGGGAGTAGGGGGCTCCCCGCCCTTGCTCCCCAACCCAGGGGCTGCGCCTCAAATCACGTTCACAGTGTATCCCGTGTCCTTCACATGCCCCAGGACCTCACATGCCACTATGAACACGTTTGACCAATAGAATCAATAGAACCACATATGTGCACATGCACACACGTCAGCAGACACACACTGTGTCCCTGCCTTCTTCTCCGCGGTGCCCTCGGCTCCGGACGCCCCACACAGCAGCCGGGGAGCGCGCCGTGAGTCCCCGACAGGGCGCGGCGGACCCAGGAATGGCGTCTGTCCTCCCCGGGGCCCCTGGAAACAGGGATGGTCGCCGTGCAGGCCTGTGGCGACTGTGTCATGCCTGAAAGGTGGCCCAGGACCAGTCCCTCTGGGTTTTAACTTTTACAGTCGTCAGACCCTTGGCAGCAAGGTCCCCGTTACAGTGTGTGGGCTGTAGTGCGAGTCCTCGTCACACAAGAAATGACAGCAAATGATGAAAAGGGTTACTTTGTGGGCCTTTGCAACGCCCCCCCCCCCAGCCGCCCGTAGGCACCTGGCCTCTCAGACCGTCTGCGGGGGCGGGGCACCCACTCGGCCCCTCTGCACGCAGCCTGGAGACCCACTCGGGGCCATCGGCAGCCAGGCCCCCCCGGCGGGAGCCCTGCAGCCCAAGGGCAAGGCTGGGGGGGGGGCGGGGCTCAGCATGGCTGGGAGCAGCACAAAGATCTCCAGCTCCTGGGCCTTTCTCCCTCCAAAGCCACTGATCCCGAGGACGGAGCAGGGCAGCCCGGGGCCTGGACCCACAGAGAAGTGCCTCCTGCTCCTGAAGCGTCGGCAGGGGCCTGGGGGTCCACCACACCCTCACCAAACAGGGCGGGCGCCCGCAGCGCTGCCCTGCGGACCCCCGGACGCGGGGCTACAGCCACGATGATCCTTGCGTTCAGCAGACGTTCCTGACAAGGCCCGTGCCAGCAGCCGCGCTGTGTCAGCCCGAGACCTCAGTCCCTTCCTTCAAATGAGCTGACAGCGGCAACAGACACCAACGCTCTGCTGGCTGCTGTCTCGTGAGGACGGCGGCCGCCAGCGGTCAGCGCAGAGCACGGCCGTTCACAGAGGCCCCAGGGCGGCCCCGCAGGCCAGGCCTGCCCCGCGCCCTCACGGGTCCGCCGAAGGACACTTCCCTTCCAGGGTCACGAGCTAAGTAAATACACGGAAGTCGAGTCCTGTTTACTCATCAGCCCTGGGAGCAGCAGGCGACTCAGGGGCAGGTCTGGGAGGGGGGCCGGGTCCCTGCAACGGTGGCCCGAGGCACACGCGCGTCCCCAGCGCTTCCCCGCGGGGGTCTGCCCAGGCAGCGGCCCTCCCGATTGCAGTGGGCGCGCTCCCTGCCGCGGAAGGATCTAGAGAGAGACTGGGACCCCAGGCCGTGGGCCTGGCCCCAGCCGGCCTCCCACTTCCGAGAGCCTCACCCCCTGGCTGTGCGAGGGGCGGGCCGACGGCGCGTCGGCCTCCACGTCCCCTGCTCTACCGTCTTCCTTTATTCCTCCTGGTACATCAAGACCGAGATGAAAGCCGTCCACCTGCACAGCGCTGTGATCGTGGGTGATGGAGAAGCTGGGAGAGAAACAGCGTCAAGTCTTTAGAAGAGGGAGCTGAAAAACAGTAATTCTAGCTGTTTCCTTAACTCTGTGTTCTGAGACCAAGTACAGCGCAGGAGAGAAGAGAATGGCAGAGAACGGCACCCCCCGGCTCCCCTCAGGCGCGCACTCTGCTCCCTGCTCAGGCAGCGAGATCTCAAACCAGCTCCCTCAGGCCCCCCGCCCCCCAACCTTGTAGTTCACAAACACATGGCATCAGCATTCACTGCAAAGGTCGCGGCTCCGCTTGCAGAGGACTATCGGGGTGTCCGAGGGACAAGTCAGGGAAGGCGCACAGCCCACCCCTGGCCTCCGGCCCCGCACCCCACGCCCCGCCTGCGGCTCTGCCCAGGGCTTCTCCCTGGCCGGGCGGGCCGGGCCTGTCTCAGCAGGGGGACCGTTCTCACAAAGGCCACACCAGCCAAGGCCACAATTAGGGGCCACGAGGCGCCTCTCTCCGGTCCGCTGCCCCATTCATCTCCACAGACGCTGAGGGCAGCCTGGCCGGAGGGGCCGGGCTAGCCGGGGGCCGGCCCGCATCCTCAGACAAAGGCGGAGTGTGCACCCGCGGCTCCCTGTGCTCCCCATTCTTCACCTCTGAACAGGCTGGAGCCGCGGAAATGGCCATTTAAGCGGCTCTTTCCCACTCTCCGCAGGCAAGTCCCGGCTGCTGCCGCCCGCCGCGCCCACCCCCCGTCCCCCCGCTGGCCGGCACGCTGCTGGGAGAAGGTGGCCTGGAGCCTGCAGCCCAGGGCCGCCAGGACCGGGGCTGGTCCCAACGCTACCCGGGGCTGGAAGGGGCATCTCAAAGAAGGCAGGAAGCCGCTGCATCCCGGCCGCTCACAGAGACGGGACAGAGGGGCCCCCGTCCGTGGAGCGAATGCAGCCGTGCAGGGTGGACACGGGACATCCAAGGACACTCGAGGGCTCAGTGGGGCGAGGCCAGGCCGCCCCCTGGGCGAGGCCTGTAAGACCCTGGGCCTTCCGAGTACAGCTGCCCCCTCCCCCGGCCCCAGCTCTGCTCCCACCCCGCCTTCCGGACCACGGACGGACGCGCCGTGTCTGCTGCGGGGCCAGCGCCGAGGTCCGTGGGGGTCTCCCGGGCTGGTCATGGAGGGCTCCGCTCCCTGAGGGCCGTCCCACTCTTGAACGCTGACCTGCCTGCACCTGCCATCTGCTGCTCCAAGAGACGGCCGCTCCTCCCTCCTAACCCACGCACACCCCCCACAAGGCCGGGGCCAGCGGGCGGCAGCGCCCCCAAGGGCTCCGGGAGCTGCCAGCCCCCACGGGCCGGCGCCGGGCAGCATCTGGCCGCAGCCCCGGAGCTTTACTCTCCCACCAGGTCACAGCTTTAAAACCAGGGACAATCGCCTTCGCCGCTGAAGAGCCCCGCACGCAGGCACCGCGGGCCTTACAGGGAGCGTTGACGCTCCGGCACCGGTCCCCTGTTCACAGCAGACCCCCAAAGGGAAAGGTCAGGGAGGTTAGGGTGAAAAACTGTGTCCCAGGCAAGGCCCAGCTGCAAAGGGACCCCCGGTGACTGGGTGGGTCCAGGCTCCCCTGGGCACGGAACAGCCCTCCGGGGACTTGCCAGCCCCGGGGACCGACCCACAGAGCCAGCCTGTGCTGAAGCAGGTCAGGAAGCCGTGGGGAGCCGGGCCAGCTTCGGCTTGAGGCAGGCCCCGTCCATCCCTCAGAGGGCAGGCCAGGCCTGCAGCACAGCCCCGCGCGCAGCCGCCTCTCCCTCCAGGGCCTGGGCCCAGTCAAGAGAGGGACAGAGACACCAGGCTGACGAAGCAGGTGCCGAGGCACTGGCTGGCCTCCCGCACCCCCAGCTCCCAGGAAGCCAGCAGCGCGTTAATTAGGAGGGAAGCAGCTGAATGTTGCAACCCTGCTTTTGTAGGGACCCACAGCTAATGAGGATGTGCCTGCATCGCCGGCCACGCCAACTCCCTTCTGCGCTGGGAGTGGGGTGGGGAGTGGGGTGGGGTGGGGGGCACGGCGTGGGGGGCGGGGGCAGCTCAGGGCAAGGGCAGGCCAGCCGTGGGCAGCGGGGGCCCCGGGCGCCGCTCCGCCGGGGCTGGCCCGCCTGAGCTTTCCGGTGCTCCGGAAGAACCCGGCCCCGGGGACCAGGAAGTTTCCAGGAGGGCCCGGGTCACTGCAGTGCCCACCTGCCATCCCAGCCCCCACACTCCTGCACCCTCGGTGCGGGGCTCCCGGTCCCAGAGACACCTCCAGGTGCAAGGGTCTGATCATCAACATGTGCGCCCCCATCAAGTCCCCAGAACAGGATCTCAAAGCCCCGCGCTCCGCAGGGGCTGATAGACTCGGCAAACTTCGTGCGGGGCCCTGGCGCTCAGGCGGTGAAGTCCTTGCTCCCGAACCCGCGGTCCCAGGCCGGGTCCGGAAGGCGACGCGGCAGTGGGGTGTAAGCGCGCAGGCCTCGCTCTGGACGCCCGCCGGCCCGGAGCCCCGCTCCCGGCCCGCCAGCGTGGAGCGCTGGTGCCATCTACTGAGGCCCGCGTAGAGCGGGAGGGCGCCGCCGCCAACCGACCGAGCGGGGCAGGGGACGGAACGGCAGCCTCGGCGCGGGCCCGGGCTCCCGGCGGTGCGAGCGGCGCCGAGGCCGCCCGCCGCCGGCCCGACTCCCGGGGCCGCCCGCGAACCCCAGTGTGCGCGGGCGGCGGGCGCCTCCGGAGCGCGGGGAGGGTTCCGTTGCCGGCCCCCGGCCCCGCAGTGGCGCTCGGCGAGCCCGGGCCGAGCGCGGCGGCAGCGGCGGCGGAAGATGCTGGAAGCCCGGCCGAGCGCAGGGCCGGCGCCCGCGGACAATTACCTTCTTTCAGGAACTGCGCGTGGATCACCAGGACGAGGAAGCAGCAGAGCGCGGCCCCTGCGAGTGCCCAGAGCGCCTTCAAGAGCTGCATCGCGGAGTGCCCTCTCGGCCGACGCCCCCGAAGTCGCGCAGCGAAGGTCCAGGCGCCGCATCAGCGCCCCGCCGGGTGCAGCCGCCGCGGCCGCCCGCTTGCGCCCTCCATCCGCCGCCGGCGCCGCGTTCCGCCGCGACTGGAGGCGCCTCTCCGGGCAGCGATCCGCGTCTTTTTGGGCAGGGGGAGGGGAGCGGGGGGGCGCGGGGAGGGGGCGGGCGGGGGCGGGGAGGTTAGCACAAAGTCTCGGGCCGCGGCGGCCGCCGGTCCGGCCACTCGGCCACCATCGCGGGCTGCGGGGCGCCGGGGGCCCGGGCGCGGGGGGGTGGCCGCCGCGGCCCCATGAATCAGCCCCACCGCCGCCCCCGGAGCCGCGCGGCCAGCAGGGCCGGGACGGCGAGCCGCGGACTGCGCAACGGCCCAGGCGCTGGGGGGTCCTGCGCGGCCCCGGCCCTTCGCTGCTCGGCGGCGCCTTCCTCCGCCTCCTTCGCCGCTGCCGCTGCCGCTGCCGCCGCCGCCGCCGCCGCCGCCGCCGCCCGCGCTCGCTCCGGCCCGGGGCTCAGGGGGCCGCTGCGCCGCCACCACCTCCGCGGAGGGCCGGGCTCGGGGCCGGGGCTGCGCGCAGGGCGCGGGGCTGCCGCACCATCGCCGCCGCCGGGGCCCGTGCGGCCCGGCCGAGCTCGCCGCGATCGAACTTGCGCGGCCCGGGGCTGGTGGGCCGGTTCCCTCCCCTCCACCCCCCGGGACGGTGCCGGCCTCCGCGCTCCCCGGAGCCCGCGCCTCTGCCGCTGCGGCCGGACGAGGCCCGGGCCGGCGCTCCCGCGGTGCTCGCGCTGCTGGCTCTGCCGGTGCGGGTGGCTGTGGCGGCGGCGGCGGCGGGGCGGCCGCGCCGACAGGTGGGGCCGGCGACGCTCCGCGCCGGCCGCCCGCAGGACGCCGCTGCTCCTGCCCGGGAACGCGCGTCCGACGCTCGCGCGGCTCGGCCGCTCCTGGGGAGGCTCCGGGAGGGGAGCGGGGACCAGGCCCGCGCGGCGATCTGAGTCCGGCCCGCGCCCTCCGCGCTCCGCCCGGCCGCCGATGCGCACTGGGCCGCGGAGGGGACCCGGGGGATCCCCGCCGCCCTGCAGCGCCCCCGCCTGGCGCGCCGGCGGGGCTGGCGGGGCTGGCGGGGCCGGTCCAGCCGAAAACCGCGGGTCGGGCTCCACCTAGGTGCGCCGGGGCCTCACTGCAGAACCGGCCGCGCGGGCGGGGGAGCGGAGCTCTGGAGGCCTCGGGGCGCCCAGCCCCCTCGCACCTCTCGGTTCCCGGAGGGGCGGGAATCAGGCCCCGACATCGCACTGCCCAGCGTTGACCCGCGGTGGCTCCTGGAAAACCGCACCTCCTGCTGGGAACGGACACACCGGCCCCGGCTCGTGTGCGACATCCTCCAGCGGCCTCCTGGCACACAGTTCAGGCCGAGGGGCTGCGGCAGATGAACCGCGGGCACGTCCTGCCTCGGCCTCAGCCCCTCCTCTAGGGGGCGCCAGCGTTTGTTTCTGGCGACTCTCTGCGTGTTCCCTGCCCCTGAGCGGCACCCGTCATGCTCAGAGCCTCTGGGAGCACAGTCGTGGGCCTCGCGGTCCCTCTGAGCTGCATTTCGACTTCAATTTCCAATGCCCAGCCAAGAGGTGGAGCAGGGAGGCACCTCTGCTGGGGCCTGTGCCCCCACCCGCGTGGAGTGGGCGGGGACAAGGCCCTTGTGAACGGGAGGCCGGCTGGGGAGCTGGGCACAGGGCTCCCACTGGGTGTCCTTCCTGGGCAGAGTCACGCGCCAGGAAGGGGAAGAGGCCAGGCCTGGAAGGGCTCCTGGAGGTCAGACAGGTCAAACACGCCGTGTCCATCTGGGGAAACTGAGGCCTGCACAAGCATGGCACCCATCCCAGCCGTAAGGGCCCCCTCGTGCCGGGCTGGTGCCGACTCTGCGGCGTGCAGCCCCGGGTCTGAGGCGAGGCCACCTGGAAGCAACACCGCACCTGTGGCTGCATCGCTCCCAGGCTCCCCTGCGCCCCGGCGTGTTCTGAGAGGGAGACGCTGGGCCCCAGCCTCCGGCGCCCAACAGCCGAGGGTCCGGCGCGGCGGTCGCACCCCCCTGCAGGCCCGGCTCGGAGCCCCATTCCCCGTAAGCTCCTCGCCGTACCCCTCTGCCCCCTCCCTGGGCACTTGGCTGGGATGCCCGGGCTGCAGGGACCCGCGGGCGCCGCCCTGCCCGGCAGCCACAGCCTGACCTCCACCAAGGTCATCAGCCTCGCAGCGCGCCTGCAGCGGCGCTCACCGCCGACCCGGCGGCCGTGGGGGTGCTCGGCACACAGGCCCGCCCAGCACCCCGGTGGGGCCCAGCCAGCCCGGACACGGAGCCTGTCTCTGACATTGCTGTGTCCCTGGTCAAGTGCAGATGATGTGAGATTTTGAAAATTTCACTACCAGAACTTTCCAAAAGTAACCGTGTGGGGGATCCTCCAAAAAGGGAATTGGAAAAAAAAAAAGAACTTTCACACAGAGAAGCACAGCCCGATGTACCTTCCCCAGGTGGGGCTGGGCGGGGCCTCTGTCCGCGCTGGGGGCCCAGGGCACCCTCCCTCCGGCACCGACAGCTTCTGCTGGGGCGTGCCCGCGGCATGACTGGCGCTCTCGGCGTGGGGCGCGGGGGGCGGGCGGGAGCCGTGCGGTCGGCGCCCAGAGGCCCGGCGGGCAGCGAGGAGCGCGGAGATGGCCTCTTGTTTACGTGTCCCCGACGTTACGGCCACGGAGCACACAGACAGCGAGCGTCGTGGTTCGGGTGTGAGTGAGACTGTGTCACTAACAGCAGACGTGGCAGGAACCTCTGTGCCCGGTGACAGCTCTCGTGACCATCTCGGAACAGCACTCCCGTGCCCCTCACTTCCCGTCCCCCCGTCCCCCCACGAGACATTCTGTGCAATGTTTTGATAAAGAAGCAAGTGTATTACCTTATCAGAAAAGATTTTTCAACATTTGATGAAACTGCTTCCGATATAAGGGGTTTTCTCAGTTATCCCATACATTGTATTCTCGTCTGCGAAGGGTCCCGGGGCCCCACCGGCTCGCGCCGGACCGGCCGGGGGCCCCGCGCGATGGAGAGAGGGAGGGTCGGCGACGGGGGTCGGGGGACTGGAGGCAGGACAGCACCCAGGCGGCGCGCACGATGTGCCGGCGCAGCGGCTGCCCTCCGGGCCGTCGCCTCGCCCAGGGAGGCCCGCTTGTCCCACGCCCTGCCCGTCCCCAGAGGGCCCGCCGGGCCCCTGACCAGCCAGCGCCCTGCCTCACCCTGCCTCCCGAGGGAGGGGCCTGGCAGGCAGGACCCCCAGGAACGTGCAGAGGCCGCGGTGGGGAGAGCAGGCGCGGCGGGACAGGTGCACCTTACATGTGACCCTGTGGTGCAAAACCCAGAAATGATTCAGGGGCAAGCGCAACGATAATACTAATTACTTATTTAATGGTAGTAATAATAAAACTTCTAAATGGTGCTCTTCTCAAAGAAACTCAAGAGAAAGCAGTACCAGCGAAAGGCCACCAAGATAAAAAGGAAAACACGAGGAGAGAAGAGGGAACTTGTCGAAATTAACATGACTGACTAGTTTTAAGCGATGGACGAGGGATTGAGGGGTGACGTTAGCGTGACCGAAAACCAGGCTGCGGAATAAGATGCCAGGACGGCCCCCCGAATGGAGAACTGGGGGAAGAGACATGGAAAGGGAGATGAGAGGGAAGTGTGGGTGTCCACCTTCCGCTTGTTAGAAATTCCAAAGGAGAAACTGAAAGGCCACAAGGAGGAGGAAACAGCCCGAGAAAGGGACGCACGTCCCACGCCGCCGCCGGGCCCACGGCGTCCCGGACAGGTCGGACGACAGGCCCAGCCCCAGGCACGCAGAACAGGCCGGGGGAACACGGGACCGGCGCCCGCACGCCAGCCGTGGCCTCCGACCTCAGCCGTGAGCTGCGTCTGGACGTCGCGGGGGCAACGCTGACTCCTGGCGGACGCGGGGGCCGGGGCTCTAAGTTCTCGGGGAAGAAACAGGGCACCTGGAATTGCATACCCAGCTGCGCTGTCAGCTAAGCCTGCCACGCGGGCACTCCTGGTGCGGTTCACTAGGCACAGGCCCCGAACGACGCTCCAGCAGAGGCCGGCGAGGAGGCCGGCACGGGCTGTGCCGTAAAGGGCCCCTTGGCGCCCCCGCTGCTCTGAGCGCACCGGGCAGACTCCCCCTCAGCTGGCAAGGCCTGGATGGCCCGCCGACCTCCCCATCGTCCTGGTCACAAGCCTGACGTCTCCGGAAAACCGCATGCCCGGGTTCATGCTGTAGACGCCACCTATTGCATCTCACGTTTTAAAACGAGCATGTGGACAAAGGTCAGAAAAACAGTTACAGAAAAAATACAAACCGCAGTGAGACATCACTCACACCGGTCAGAATGGCTGCCACCCATAAAGGAAGGAACAGCAAGGGCCGGTGCAGACGTGGCGAACAGGGACCCTCGTGCACCGTGGCGGGAGCGCAGGCGGTGCAGCCGCTGTGGAGAGCAGTGTGGGGTCACCTCCCAGAATTAAAAATGGATCCGCCTTTGGACCCAGCGATCCCACTGCAGGGAATACATCCGAAGGAACCCAGAGACGAATTCGGAAGCACAGAAGCGCCCCGTGTTCACGGCAGGGCCATCTCCAAACCCCAGGGAACGGAAGCGGCCGCGGTGCCCATCGGTGGACGAGCGGATAAAACCGCGGTGGGATGTTTCCACCCGATGGGGTCGTCGTCAGTGCGAAAAGAAAGCCTCCCCCTTTGCGGCGGCGTGGGTGGGCCTGGGGAGCATCGTGCTGAGGGAAGTACGCCGGGCAGAGAAAGACAAATACCCTATGATCTCACTCGTATGTGGAATCTAATGAACAAACTGGACTATCAAGGAAAATGGGGACAGACTCCTAGCTGGAGAGCAGGTGGCAGCCAGTGGGGGGTGGGGCGGGGGGGCGAGACTGAGCCAAAGAGGAAAAGGGCTCAAGGACAGGGCCACAGTGAGCTGGGCGCGGGAGACTCCGGGGTAAAAGGAAAACTAGAATGAAAAATAAGATTAAAAGCAAAAAAAT